GGGGGGCCGTTCCTCCCAACCACACCCCTCCAGGTCTCACTGTCATTGCCCACATGAGCATTGAAGTCCCCCAGCAGAACAAGGGAGTCCCCAGAGGGTGCACTTTCCAGTACCCCTTCTAAGGACTCCAGAAAGGGTGGATAATCTGGACTGCCGTTTGGTGCATAAGCACAAACGACAGTCAGAACCTGTCCCCCCACACGTAGGCAGAGGGAGGCCACCCTCTCATTCACCGGGGTGAACCCCAATACACAGGCACCAAGTTGGGGGGCAATAAATACGCCCACGCCTGCTCGGCGCCTCTCACCAGGGGCAACTCCAGAGTGGAAGAGTGTCCAGCCCCTCTCAAGGAAACTGGTTCCAGAGCCTGAGCTATGCGTAGAGGTGAGCCTGACTATTTCTAGCTGGAACCTCTCAGCCTCACACACCAGCTCAGGCTCCTTCCCCACCAGTGAGGTGACATTCCACGTCCCAATAGCCAGCTTCTGTAGCCGAGGATCAGACCGCCAGGGTCCCCGCCCTCGGCCACCACCCATCCCACATTGTACCCGACCTCTTTGGCCCCTCCCACAGGTGGTGAGCCCATGGGAAGGAGGACCCACGTCTCCTCTTCGGGCTGTGCCCGGCCGAGCTCCATGGGTAAAAGCCCGGCCACCAGGCGCTCGCCCACGTGCCCCACCTCCAGGCCTGGCTCCAGAGTGGGGCCCCGGTGACCCACGTCCGGGCAAGGGAACACTAGGTCCATTTGTGTTTCTCATCATAGGGGTGTTTGGGCTGCACTTTGTCTGGTCCCTCACCTAGGACCTGTCTGCCATGGGTGACCCTACTAGGGGCATAAAGCCCCTGACAGCATAGCTCCTAGGATCATTGGGACACTCAAACCCCTCCACCACGGTAAGGTGGCAGCCCAGGGCGGGGGCTGCCACCTTACCGTGGTGGAGGGGTATTCCCAGTATTTGTTTCTCTAATTTTTTTCTGGTTTTCTGCATCTGCCTTCCTGTCTCATGTTTTCTAATTGCTTTTTGGTTATTTTTTTGTTGCTCCTAACATATTTTTCATACCTTGTGGGCATTTTGAACTTCCAGATTTTCCTTCCTTTTCTTCTCTTTTCCCTCCTTTTTTCTATTACATCATCTCAATCTGTTCTTTTTCTTTATTTTCTTCCCTTCTCACCTCCCCTGTCCCTTCTTCATCCTTCTTTTACTCATTTTTCTAGTTTACATTTGTCCCCTCCAATCTCTTTTCCTCATCAGGTCCTCCATGATGCTCCTTCAGCATTTTATCATAATTGGCTTTTTGCTCTCATTGGCTGTGCTGCTGCTGGTTGCCATGGAGACATGTCCATCATCAGGGATGCCTGGAATCCCAGGTTTGTGTGTTTTAAGAGCATACTGTATATAAGAGGAGTGGTGGCACAGAGGTTAAAGAAGGTGGGCCTGTGATCGGAAGATCGCCGGTTCAAGCCCCGGTACCCACAACATCAAAAATGTGGGTGGGGTAGGTGAAGCACCCACACCTGTCCCCACTCTCATTCGCCCCACTCTGGGCCCATGAGCAAGGCCCTTAACCCCCATCTGCTCCCTAAACAGGTCTTTCTTGAAAAAGAGTTCTTGTGGCTCAATGAGACTACCTGTATAAATAAAGGGTAAATGAAAAAAAAAACATACTCCTGTAACATTTGAGGCACATTCCTGTTTTTGTTTTGTTTATTTGTGTTACCGTTCTCAGGTATTCCTGGACTTCCTGGCAGGGATGGACGTGATGGAGTGAAAGGAGACACAGGAGAGCGAGGTACACAAAAACGCACAGAAAACCTTGCATTATGAGCAACCTCACCTCGCCGCTTTTTTTTCTTGACAAGGTTAACATGACACTTGTTCATTGTATTTTCTGTGATTTCAATGCTGAAACATAGTGGAAAATGTGTACGCAGTCAGTATTTTACCTGCAGCAGACACCAGTCAGCACATCTGTTTGAAGAATCAGAAGTCAAATCTTCTGAAAGAGTCATGCCAGCAGCTGCTCAGAACAGGACCCTATCTTTTTCTACCTAAAGCTTTACAAGCAGCTTGAACAAACCACCTCCTCTGCATGAGAAAACTCTTTACTTTTTAAGTTAATCTAATCATTTATGTTGCTAAGCTGTGTGTTTCTGTCAATATAATTAAAATACCCAACCGATAAAGAGATGAGCTCTTTTATCTGGCTCATGATTTATCAGTAGACACTGTACCTTTACAAAGTAAATATATGTACAGTGAGGAAAATAAGTATTTGAACACCCTGCAACTTTGCAAGTTCTCCCACTTAGAAATCATGGAGGGGTCTGAAATTTTCATCTTAGGTGCATGTCCACTGTGAGAGACATAATCTTAAAAAAAAAAAAAAATCCAGAAATCACAATGTATGATTTTTTAATAATTTATTTATGTGTTACTGCTGCAAATAAGTATTTGAACACCTGCCAATCAGCAACAATTCTGGCCCTCAAAGACCTGTTAGTCCACCTCTAAAAAATCCACCTCCACTCCACTTATTATTCTAAATTAGAAGCACCTGTTTGAGGTCGTTAGCTGCATAAAGACACCTGTCCACCCCACACAATCAGTAAGATTCCAACTACTAATACGGCTAAGATCAAAGAGCTGTCCAAAGACACTAGAGACAAAATTTTAGACCTCCACAAGGCTGGAAAGGGCTATGGGGCAGTTGCCAAGCAGCTTGGTGAAAAAAGATCAACTGTTGAAACATTTATTAAAAAATGGAAGAAGCTAAACATGACTGTCAAGCTCCCTCAGACTGGGGCTCCATGCAAGATCTCACCTCGTGGCATATCAATGGTCTTAAGAAAGGTTAGAAATCAGCCCAGAACTACATGGGAGGAGCTGGTCAGTGACCTGAAGAGAGCTGGCACCACTGTTTCCAAGGTTACTGTGGGTAATACACTAAGATGTCATAGTTTAAAATCGTGCATGGCACGGAAAGGTCCCCTGCTTAAATCAGCACACGTCCAGTCCCATTTTAAGTTTGCCCATGACCATTTGGATGATCCAGAGAAGTCATGGGAGAAAGTTATGTGGTCAGCTGAGACCAAAATAGAACTTTTTAGGCCTGAGCAGCAAAGTGCTGTGAAGGCCTATTGCAATCGCTCAGTTCATTAGGCCCGAGCAATTTTTCCGTCAAATGAATTGGTGTTTTGGAGGCCTTAACATATCACAAAACCCACCAAATTTCGCAAACGCATCAGGACTGGTGAAAAATTATGTATTTGAAGGACTTTGCAAAAATCGCAACAGAAACGGCTCAAGATCACAAAAATACCCTCCACATTAACTTTAGTTTGTCATAGAAGCATGAAATTTGGTACACGTCCAATTCCCCAAGATGCACGGAAAACCCTCTGGCACCAACGTTGTACGATGAACAGGAAGGTGGCCATTTTGGAATGCCTTCACAATTTTCACACCTTTTTGGTGGTTTACAGACTCCACATTTGAACAAACTCCTCCTAGGGATTTCGCTCAATCAGTGTGCACTTCTAGACACATTGGTATTGTTGATTCATGACATGACTTAAGCCCCACCTACTCAGAGAAAAAACTGTTGATTATTGGATGACTCTTCCAGCTTCACCCTGTGTAAGACATTACACTGAAACTTTGATCACTAACTGTTGATTACCACCAATGCTGCTTGCAGCTTTAATTGGTTTTAATTCCACTCGCTGTGTTTGGAGGACAAAGAATGATGAGTACCATCCCAAAAATACCATCCCTACTGTGAAGCATGGGGGTGGAAGCATCATGCTTTGGGTGTGTTTTTATGCACATAGGACAGGACGACGGTCCTATATTAAGAAGAGGATGACCAGGGCCATCTATTGCGAGATTTTGGGGAACAACCTCCTTCCCTCAGTTACAGCATTGAAGATGGGTCATGGCTGGGTCTTCCAACATGACAATGACCCAAAGCACACAGCCAGGATTATCAAGGAGTGGCTCCGTAAAAAGCATATCAAGGTTCTGGAGTGGCCTAGCCAGTCTCCAGACTTAAACCCTATAGAAAGTCTTTTGAGGGAGCTATAACTGTTTCTCAGTGACAGCCCAGAAACCTAGCTGATCTAGAAAAGATCTGTGTGGAGGAATGGGCCAAAATCCCTGCTGCAATGTGTGCAAACCTGGTGAAAAACTATAGGAAACGGTTGACTTCTGTAATTGCAAACAAAGGCTACTGTACCAAATATTAACATTGATTGTCCTTTCAGGAAGGCCCAGTTAGGATATCCACATTGCTCTAAAGCAGAGAAGAAACCCAAACAGGACTCCAGTCAGCCAACAGATGAAAAGGAGGAACCCAGACCCAGACCAGTGGTCATTCCATATGTTGAGGGAGTATCAGAGAAACTGAGACGTTTATTTTCTAAACATAACGTCCCAGTGGCTTTTAAACCCCAAAATACATTACGGCAAAGACTGGTTCATCCCAAAGATCCAGTCCCCCGGCACAAACAGCAATGTTGTGTATGCTGTTCAGTGTCAGGAGGGCTGTGATCAGTCTTATATCGGGGAAACAAAACAGCCACTGGCCAAAAGGATGGCCCAGCACAGAAGATCAACATCATCAGGCCAGGACTCTGCGGTCTACACTCATCTCCAGGCCAGCGGTCACTCTTTCAGGGATGAAGATGTTCACATCCTGGACAGAGAGGAACGATGGTTTAAGAGAGGAGTAAAGGAGGCCATCTTTGTGAAAAGAAATCGTCCATCGTTAAACAGGGGTGGAGGCCTCCGGGTTCAACTGTCCCCCTCTTACAATGCTGTGATTGCTAGTATCACTCAGCCCTCTGTGAACAGTAAACAGCCATCAGTGTGCTAATGATCCATTGTTAGGCTGATGGTCCTTCTTGAGCATGTGATCAGCTGGTTTTGGTTGTCAGCAGCAAAACTGGTTGATCCACTCTGAGACGGTGCTATTTAAGAGACTGAGCTGAATACAGCTCCTCAGACTGAGGAAGTCTCTCGGATGAGAGACGAAACGTTTCTACATTTTTTTGTTGATTTGCTTTGTTTTGATTTTTTGAATGTCCAGAGGACCAGATTTAACTTTTTTAGATTTTTCTACCTGGATTATTGAGCATGCATCAGGATACACATAGGCACTGCAGAGTTCAGATAAAATCACTCAATTCATAAAGTTCTCTCTGGAGAGATTTGTGCACATGCGGGGGGTGTCGAGGACAACCAGAGACTAATCCAGAGTCCTGAAATGATGACAGAATGTTTATTCAGTAATATATTGAGACAGGACATAGAGGAAAGAGGGAGGTAGCTAAGTCAAAGCGGAAGGCGTATGATGAGTTATATGGAAGGTTGGACACTAAAGAAGGAGAGGGATTTGTTCCAATTGGCAAGACAGATGGATCAGGCTGGAAAGGATGTGCAGCAGATTGCTTAAAATAGGAACTGTAATGTTCTAACTGTTATAATGAGGGTTACCCAGATAATACGGACTGAGAGGAAAACAGAACCAGACTCAAATATAATTGAAAAATGTTTATTTACATTGGAAAAAGTGGAACTATTTACAAGCAGGGTCTGGGGCTGTGGAAACAGAGGAGGAGTTTTACTTTATGGTAGGTAATGTTAATCCAACAGGTGATCGACCAAAAATCTGAGGTGCTTATAGTAGAAGGAGTTGAGATGGCTGGGTGAGTATGGCTGAGGGTTCTTTTTCTCCAAGAGTGACAGGGCCAGGCAGTCTGCAGCGGCAAGTGGTGGAAGACGTGTGAGAGCAGCTGAGAACCAAGAATCACAGGTGAGTTTTTCCTCCAAGGGTTTCTCCAATACTTCAAGTTCAGGGACAAGATCCAGGACATCAATACTCTCAAAATATGCAGACAGAAACAAGGTAAGTATTTACATTTCTAAACACTATACTGGGCTGGAAGCATATATACCGGCAGGTAGAACAATGCTCCAGCAATGACTGGAGCTCAACTGAAGCCTTAAGTAGTCCTGGCACCAATTAGAGAAAATGGTCTCCAGCTGCAGCTGCTCACCAGTGCCACCCATGCCTTCAGGAACCTGGTGGAGAGAGGTTGAAAAAACCCTACACTAACAAGTGAGGTGAGTGTGATAGGAAGATGGAAGAAGTACTTTGAAGAGCTGATGAATGAAGAGAATGAAAGAGAAAGAAGAGTAGAGGTAATAGAAACTGTGGACCTGGATGTGAGAAATATTAGTGGGGGTAAAGTCCAAAAAGCTCTGAAAAAAGGGAAGAAGAGGAAGGCAGTAGGACCTGATGACATACAAGTGGAGGTTTGTAAATGTCTTGAAGAGATGGCAGTGAGGTTTTTGACTCAAATGGCATATTTGTGGGTGAAAAAATACGTGAGGAATGGAGAAGAAGTGTGCTGGTGCCCATTTTTAAGAACAAGGGTGATGTACAGAGTTGTAGTAACTACAGGGGAATTAAGTTGATGAGTCACACAATCTGGGAGATCTGGGAGAGAGTTGTGGAAGCTAGACTAAGATGAGAGATCACTATTTGTGAGAAGCAGTATGGCTTCATGCCAAGAAAGAGCACCACAGATACCATATTTGCTTTGAGGATGCTGATGGAGAAATACAAAGAAGGTCAAAAAGAACTCCATTGTGTCTTTGTGGATTTAGAAAGAGGGTTAGGGTTAGAGTGATGTGACATCAAGCACTCTTTACGTGCATTCAACCACATCAACTCTGTGGATAAATACCTCCTCAGACAGAGGAAGTCTTTCGGATGAGAGACGAAACGTTTCTACATTTTTTTTGCTTTGTTTTTTGTTTTTTTTTGAATGTCCAGAGGACCAGATTGAACTTTTTTGGATTTTTCTACCTGGATTATTGAGCATGCTTCAGGATGTTATTTTGCTTTGCTTTGTTTTGTTTTTTTTGTTTTTTTTTGAATGTCCAGAGGACCAGATTGAACTTTTTTTGGATTTTTCTACCTGGATTATTGAGCATGCATCAGGATTTTTTTTGTTTTGTTTTGTTTTTTTTGAATGTCCAGAGGACCAGATTGAACTTTTTTAGATTTTTCTACCTGGATTATTGATCATGCATCAGGATATGTTGTTAAGCACTTTGATAACAGTTACTGTTTTAAATGTGCTATATAAATAAATGTGACTTGACTTGACATCCTGGACAGAGAGGAACGATGGTTTGAGAGAGGAGTAAAGGAGGCCATCTTTGTGAAAAGAAATCGTCCATCATTAAACAGGGGTGGAGTCCTCCCTAATCAACTGTCCCCCTCTTACAATGCTGGTTTTGCTATTATCACTCAACCTCTGTGAATAGTAAACAGCCATCAGTGTGCTAATGATCCATTGTTAGGCTGATGGTCCTTCTTGACCATGTGAGCAGCTGGTTTTGGTCGTCAGCAGCAAACTGGTTGATCCACTCTGAGAAGGTGCTATTTAAGAGACTGAGCTGAATACAGCACGTCAGACTGAGGAAGCCTTTTGGATGAAAGACAAAACGTATCTAGCTTTTTTTGCTTTGTTTTGTTTTTTGTTTTTTTTGAATGTCCAGAGGACCAGATTGAACTTTTTTGGATTTTTCTACCTGGATTATTGAGCATGCATCAGGATATTTTTACTGGAGTCTCTCAGTGTCTTCCTGCATGTGGGTTCAACACTCAGATGCAGATCATGATAAGGTCAACGGAAAAGTTTACAAGACAGGTGTGAGACCAGCTATGTTGTATGGTATGGAGACAGTGGCATTGACAAAAAGACAGGAGAAAGAACTGGAAGCGGCGAAACTGAAGATGTTGAACTTCTCCTTAGGAGGGACAAGGATGGATAAGATAGTGAGTCCCAGCTGAAATGCTTTCTAGAGGATAATGCCATCTTAGAGCTATTCCAGTCTGGCTTTAAACCTCTCCACAGCACTGAAACTGCTCTACTCAAGGTTTTTAACAACATTCTCCTATTCACAGACGCTGGTGATTCTGTGCTCCTTCTCTTACTGGACCTCACATCTGCTTTGATACAATCGACCACGAGATCCTCATTGCGAGGTTAGAGCAGTGGGTGGCCATCACTGGGTCAGCCCTCGAATGGTTTAGATCTTATCTCGCTGACAGGTCCTTTTGTGTCTCCATCAAAGATTTTAGTTCAGCCTCGGCAGCGCTTAAATGGGGGGTACCGCAAGGTTCCATCCTTGGTCCTCTTTTATTTTCTTTATACCTGCTGCCACTAGGTGCTATTTTCAGGAAACATAACATACCTTTTCATTTCTACACAGACGACTGCCAAATCTACTTCCCCCTCAGACTCAACGGTACTCGCTCTATTCAACCGTTACTGGACTGCCTGGCTGACATCAGAGATTGGATGGCTTTAAATTTCTTGAGTTTCAACGAGAAGAAATCTGAAGTTATGCTGTTTCCTCCCAATGACACAATCACCAACCACTGCATCGACCTATCCGTTCTGTCACCGTTAGTGAAACAAAGAGTCACTAATCTAGGAGTGATACTTGACCCTTCTCTGAAACTCAACAATCATGTAAATATGATTGTTAAATCCTGCTTTTTCCAGCTGAGGCGACTGTCTAAGCTGAAGCCCATATTGTCCAAAAATAACCTGGAGACAGTAATTCATGCATTCATTACATCCAGGCTCGACTATTGCAACTCACTCCTTTTTGGTATCAGTCAGACCTCCATAGCTAGACTCCAACTGGTCCAAAATGCAGCAGCCCGGTTTTTGACCAGCACAAGCAAAAGGGAGCACATTACACCTGTTTTGGCCTCCCTACACTGGCTTCCGGTTCACCTTCAAATCAAATTCAAAATACTCTTGTATGTCTATAAATCACTAAACAGCTCTGCCCCCTCCTATCTTACTGATCTGCTCCAGCTGTATGTCCCACCACGTTCTCTCAGATCAGCAGACCAGTTGCTCCTCACAGTCCCAGGAACCCGTCTCAAGCGCAGAGGTGACAGGGCCTTCTCTGTAGCAGGCCCAAGACTTTGGAATGAGTTACCTCTGCTCGTTAGACAGGCCCCCTCCCTCACAGTTTTTAAATCTTGCTTAAAAACACACTTCTATTCCCTGGCTTTCTGCACTGTGTGATCTGTGCTGAGTCTGTGTGCATCACACTGTGTTGGTCATGTTGCGGTTGTTGTTGTTATCCATTATTGTTTTTGTCGGTTTCTACGTTTTTGGTGTCCTGTTATGTAATCTGTTGCTATGTGCTTGCTCTGCTTGTCCCTGTACAGCACTTTGGTGTGCTTTGTCACTGTTTAAAGTGCTTTATAAATAAATTGGTATGGTATGGTAAGATTACAAATGAAATCATCAGAAGTACAGCACAGGTTGAACTACTGGGAGATAAATTTAAACTGGGAGAGGCCAGACTGAAATAGTTTGGACATGTCCAGAGGAGGGACAGTGGGCATATTCGTAGGAGGATGTTAGCAATGCAGCTTCCAGAAAAAAGACAACGAGAAAGGCCAAAGAGGAGATACATGGATGCAGTTAGAGAGGACATGGAGGTAGTTGGAGTGAGGACAGCAGGTTCATCTGTCTGAGGATTGGATTCTGATAGAGTAAGATGGAGGAGCATGACTCACTCTGGTGACCCCTGAAAACGGAAAAGCCGAAAGAAAAAGACGAAGAAGCCCAGTCATCTGTAAGCTCTTTCTTACCACCCAGCACCTTTAGCAGCTCCTCTCTGAATTTCTCACAATATTCCTCTTTCTTCAGCTTCCACTATATGGTCTACTTCTCTGATTTTCCTCTTTTGCTCTTTTTCACAATGCCATTCTACACAAAACCATTCAGTGCTGTCTGGCCACACCCTCCCCTGCCACAACCTTACTGGTCCCAATGGCCCTCAGGTTTCTTCTTCTACACAGAATGTAGTCTACCTGCATACTCATTCCTCCACTCTTATAGGTCACTCTATGTTCCTCCTTTTTTTGGAAATAAGTGATGACTACAGCCATTTCCATTCTCTTCGCAAAATCCACCACCATGTGTACATCCTGGTTTCTTTCCTTGACTTTAAGACCACCCCTACTCCATTTCTCTTTCTATCCACACTAGGGCATTAACAGAGTACTCGAGTAATCTACACATCAATTGCTAGGACCTCTATCGAGGTTAAAAATTTAATGTCGAGTAACCGTAGTGACGTCATATTATGTGACCACCGTATGACCGTAGGGGGCGGTGTTGCACTGTGGCAGGTCACAGAGTATGTGTAACACCGGGTCCAATCCACCGCCCATCCACAGTTTTAAGTTTCGTTTTTGACGTGCTGCATGTTTTTTCACGTTTGCAGTTTAATAATAATAACTAATAGTTTAGTTTTTTCTGTGACTTATTTGCAGTATGATAAATGGTAGGAGCATAATATACGCTCCCAATGTTTTGTTGGTCTTTATTTTGTAAATAATTACCTTTTATTGCAGTTTTATTTATTTATTTATTTTTGTATCTTGAGATCTATGACGTCATCAAATACTCGAGTTCTACTCGGGTTTTATTATGTTAATGTCGAGTTTAAAAATTATATACTCGTTCAACCCCTAATCCACTCCATGGTACAACAGTTTAAACACTGCTCCAATGCTGCAAGCCTTGCAGCACTTCCACTTTGTTTCTTGGATACATAAACATATACCTTCCTTCTCTGCATCATGTCAGCCAGCACTCTACTTTTCCCTGTCATTTTCCCCACACTGAGTTGCAACCCTCAGTCTTACATTCTTGACTTTCTTCTTCTCCCTCTGTCTCCTTATATGTTTCTCTCTTCATGGTATTTGACTAACAAACAGTAGCACAATTTCCACCGTCACCCTGTTTGTCAACAGCACTGGTGGTGGTCATCGTTAATCCGGGCCTCGACCCATCTGGTATAGTTTTGCTTTGATGAACTCATGTTAAAGTTATGGCAAAAAAGTGTTTTACGTCAGTTGCCCTTCTTGACACAACCCTCACCATTTACCCAGGCTTGGGACCAGCACAAGAGATACACTGGCTTGTGCTCCCTAGTGGCTCATTTGAAGGGTTTCATACACAAACAGCTAAATAAATCCAAGTATGCAGAAGTGGTAAGATTGCAAAAATGTATTTAAAATTAAAACTTTTAATGATAAAAACAAACTGAACAGTTACTTTAACTGAATCAGCTTTTATACAAATAAATACATAAAAGTTTTTTTTTCTACAACAGTAATTTAACAGGATTAGTCCACGTAAAACCAAACTTGTGTGAGATCAGACGGGAGCTTCCTAAAAATTCTTAAAATATTTAAGACACATTTTTCTGCCCTCTGATTTGTAATATGAATATAAAATTCTGGTAAAAGACACCGAGTTTATTTTTGGAGTAAATTAATATTTAAACAAATCCGGTGCAATGTAACCCTGCAGATCCTTGTTCTTGTTTTCAGGAGCACAGTGGAGCAGCAGCCTCGGACCTCAGAAGGGTCAAAGGGGTGACCCAGGGCCAAGGGGCCACCAAGGTAAACTGGGTCAATCAGGAGAACGCGGGAAACCTGGCAGCCTGGGGAACATAGGCCTTCCAGGAGATCCAGGAGAGCCTGGGTATGATGCAAACATCCCAACAGAAACACAGAGGAGGATGTTAGAGTTTGTTCTATAATTTGTTGTCATGGGGGATTTTAGTTTATTTATCTGAAAAGAATGATGTTCATTAATAAATATTAAATTGTTGTTAATGCATCAGAATTAACCAAAAGGCCAATTATTTAGAAGAGGCCAAAACTAACCAAAAATAATTACTCTAAATTTGACCAATCTGTAGCTTTCAAGCATAAATAGATTAAACATTTATCAAGTTATTATCTTAAATGAGGCATCGCAAATTAATTTATCTCCCAGTTTTTTTCTTTCAACCTTTATTTAGACAGGTAAATCCCATTGAGCCTCGAGGACTCATTTACAAGAGAGACCTGAAGTTGAGACCTGAGTTGTTCAACCTGTGCTGTACCTCTGATGATCTCATTCCTAATCTTTGTCACTCCTAAGGAGAACCTCAGCATCTTCATTCTGACGCTTCCAGTTCTTTCACCTGTCTTTTGTCCATATCTCTGTCTCCAGACCATTCAACATAGCTGGTCACACCATTGTTTTTTAAACTTTTCTATGGACATTTGCTGACACACTTTTGTCACAAATCACTCCTGAAACTTATCTCCATACACTCCATCTTGTCTGGACTCTCTTTTTCACCTCTTTACCACACTCCCCATTTCCCTGGACAGTGGACACTAAGCACTTGAAGTCCTGCACCACTGTGACTTCTGTTCCTTGTAGCCTCACTTTTCCACTGGCCTCCCTCTCATTAACACACATGTACTCTGTCTTACTATGGCTTACTTGCATTCCTCTTCTTTCAAGTGCATAAAAAAAGCGTTCAATACAAAAACAACTGGACTTTATTTGTAACAGAAGACGTTTCGCTCCTCATCCGAGGAGCTTTCTCAATTCAAAGAGCAGTGAGTAAGGGATTCAGGTTATAAGGCTGAGTGAGACCAGACACACACACATATGTAGATTGGCAGTTCACACCTAAACACCTTAACAGTAGGTCATTGTTCATCTAATTCACAGACAAGGCCCCTCTGTTCCCATCAGCTGTGAAAACTGGCTGGGAATCTGTTTTAAAGTTGCATTATATGTTTTTGAAAGTGAAAATCTGAGGCCTCCTCCTCTGTTAAGAGACTGCTTTTCTCTTTTTACACAAATTGCTTCCTTCACCCCCCTCTCAAACCATCTGTGTTCTCGGTCCAAAATGTGCACATTTTGGTCCTCAAAAGAGTATCCCTTATCTGTGAGGTGGAGGTGAACTGCTGAATTTTGTCCAGAGGAGCTGGCTCTCCTGTGTTGAGCCATGCGTCTGTGAAGAGGCTGTTTAGTTTCTCCAATGTAGAGGTCTGGACAGTCCTCGCTGCACTGGACTGCATACGCTACACCACTCTGTTTGTGTATGGGTGTTTTGTCCTTAGGGTGGACCAGCCTCTGTCTCAGAGTCCTGCTGGGTTTGAAATGTACTGGGATCTTGTGTTTGTTGAAAATCCTTCTGAATTTCTCTGATACTCCAGCAACATAAGGGATGACAATGGTTTTACGTCTGTTGTTCTCCTTTTTCTATTTATTAGGGTGTTTTGTAGATTTCCTCGCTGATTTGACAAAAGCCCAGTTAGGATATCCACATGTTTGGAGAGCTTCTTGAATGTGTTTCTGTTCCTTTTCCTTCCCTTCTGTCTTTGTGGGGACGCGTTCGGCCCGATGCTGTAAAGTTCTGATGACAGAAAGTTCGTTTTCCAGTGGATGGTGGGAGTCAAACAGAAGATACTGGTCTGTGTGGGTTGGTTTTCTGTAAACTTCAATGTTGAGGCTGTCCTCTCTTTCCATCTGAACCAAACAGTCCAAAAAAGGCAGTTTGTTGTCGTTTGCATCCTCTCTGGTAAACTTGATGTTGTTATCGACAGAGTTAATGTGTCTGGTGAACGCTTTTATTTCCTTAGCTTGGATTTTGACTCAGGTGTCATCCACATATCGGAACCAATGGCTTGGCGTTGTTCCCTCAAAGGAGTTTAGGGCTCTCTGTTCCACTTCCTCCATGTAGAGATTGGCAACAATGGGTGACACTGGAGATCCCATGGCACAGCCGTGCTTCTGTCTGTAAAAACTGTCATTGAACTTAAAATAAGTGGTGGAGAGGCAGAGATCCAACAGGGTGCAGATCTGGTCTCGGGTGAAGTTGGTCCTGTTGATTAAGTCCTTGTCTTGTAGAAGTTGTTTTCTGACGGTTTCTACTGCTTCAGAGATGGGTATGAATGTGAAAAGAGAAGTCACATCATACGATACAAGGGTTTCTCCTGGGGTTAGTTTCAAGTGTTGAACTTTGTTATCAAAATCAATGGAGTTCTTTATGTGCTGAGGTGTGTTTCAAACAAGAGGAGCTAAAATACCAGCCAGATGTTTAGCAATATTTTACAGGTCCTTCTCAAAAAATTACCATATTGTGATAAAGGTCACTATTTTCCATAATGTAATGATAAAAAAAGAAACTTTCATAAATTTCAGATTCATTGCACACCAACTGAAATATTTCAGGTCTTTATTTGTTTTAATACTGATGATTATGGCATACAGCTCATGAAAACCCAAAATGCCTGTCCCAAAAAATTAGCATATTTCATCCCACCAATGAAAGACAAGTGTTTTTAATACAAAAAACGCCAACCTTCAAATAATCATGTTCAGTTATGCACTCAATACTTGGTCAGGAATCCTTTTGTATGAATGAATTTCAAACATCAAACAGGCATTTTGATACACATTTAATTATGTTAGTTTTCTTACCACCCAGACCCTTTAACAGCTCCTCCCTGATTTTTTTTTACAACATACTTATTTTCTCAGCTTCCACCATTTGGTCTCCTTCTCTGATTTGACTCTTTTTCTCTTCTTCACAACAACAGTCATTCTACACACAACCGTCCGATGCTGTCTGCCCACACTCTCCCCTGCCACAACCTTACAGTCTCCAATCTCCCTCAGGTTTCCTCTTCTACACAGAATGTAGTTAACCTGCATACTCCTTCCTCCACTCTTATAGGTCACTTTATGTTCTTCCCTCTTTTGGAAACAGGTGTTGACTACAGCTATTTTCATTCCCAGAATCAGAATCAGAATAAACTTTATTGGCATTTCACCAAGATACAACGTGAATATGTACGTACAGTCGTCCGAAGATGGGCGGAGTCCACCAAGCTGCAGTTATAAATAATTAGCGCGGCCTCTTATTCTTATTCAGAATAATATTTTGCTTAGATGAGAAAAGGAAAGAAAACATGAGGAGAGACGGTATAAAAAAAGATGTCTCACACCGTGTCCTTGACAGGTCACGATTTGAGGCATCAAAAAAACTTACCACCGCAAAGCAACATAAACAGACGTTATACATGAACATAAAGGCTGGTGAAGACATTGAATTTTTAAGGGAAAGTCATAACATAGTCCAGGGCCCCCCCTCAGCCATTGTCCAGATAAGAGGTGATGTTCATCTTCAGCTCAGTTGAGGTTCTGTTACATGTCCACAGCATTGGGGAAGGGAGGGGTGAGGAAACAGTCAAAGCATTTTTGTTGTTTTCAAAACATTCCAGGAGGAGTTGAGATAAGTCCGGCATCAAGGCCACAGTTTGGGTCAGGCAGAACTCGTGAATTGTTGTTTCTGCCTTTTAAAATCTTGCTGATATATATTCTTCTGATGGAAACTCCATAACAGCTGAATTGATCCTTTACTCCAAAAGTTGAGCTCACAGCTTCTCCAGATTATTCCCACCATTCATGAGTGCTGCCAGGAAGATCACAGTCCTGATAACAGCTGCTCCAACTCCCTGTCGCAGCTTCCCCCATTCAGTCTGAGCACTGTCGAGCTTCAACACATCCACACAAATTTGTAGACAATCCAGATTTCACCAACTCAAACAGCAAAAACCAGTTGTCACCATGAATCCAATTGTTTCCATCCAGGTAAGAGGGTCCTCCTTACCCCGACTCCTGTCGGGAGAAGTTTATTGATTTTGTTGAGAGACCAGCTGATCCTTCCAATTAAGAGGTATGCAGAAAAAAAGAGGCTTTTTAAGGGTTCACAGGACAAAAGAGCACAGCAGGGAAGCGGGCGGGCGGGCGGGGGGGGGGGGGGAGACACGTCTGGTTCCACCGGAGAATAGAAGGGAAAAAAAATCCACCACTACCATCTGTCCTTCCTAGTTTCTTTCATTGACACCAAACCTACCCATTACTTCCTCATCTCCTCTGTTTCCTTCATGTCCATTCAGGTCTGATCAGATCACAGCTCTTGCCTCCCTGGGAATACTCTATATCACTTTGTCTAGATCTTTTCAAAATGAATATTTCTCCTCTATAATTGTGTGTCATCAGCATAACAATGAAAATTTATCCCATGTTATTTAATAACTTTACCTATATGCTTCCATTAGGTAAAATTATTAAACAGCATGGGATAAATTTTCATTGTTATGCTGATGACACACAATTATATTTGTCCATTAAACCCAATGAATCCAATCAGCTACTTAGACTACAAGCATGTCTTAAAGACATTAAAACCTGGATGACCCTTAATTTTCTCCTGTTGAACACAGACAAGACTGAGGTTTTGGTTTTTGGACCTGAGCACCTTAGGAATTAATTTTTCAGTCTTTCTCCCTCCTTAGATGACATTAATCTGTCCTCCAGCTCTAATGTTAAAAATCTTGGTGTTATTTTTGATCAGGACATGCCTTTTATCCCCCACATTAAAAACGTTACTAGAACTGCCTTCTTCCATCTGTGTATTATTGCTAAAATTAGAAACATCTTATCTAAAAATAATGCAGAAAAACTGGTCCATGCATTTGTCATGTCTAGACTGGACTATTGCAATGGTTTATTATCTGGATGTCCAAATTCATCTTTAAAACGTCTTCAGTTGATCCAAAATGCTGCTGCCAGAGTCTTAACCGGAGTTGGTAGGAGAGATCTTGTTTCTCCAGTTTTAGCTTCTCTCCATTGGCTCCCTGTCAAATCCAGAATAGAATTCAAAATCTTACTTCTAACCTACAAAGCTCTCAACAACCTGGCTCCATCTTATATTACAGATCTTATTGTTCCATATTTTCCTAACAGAGCACTTTGCTCTCAGACTGCAGATTTATTTGTGGTTCCTAGAATTTACAAAAACAGAATGGGAGGCAGATCTTTCAGTTATCAGGCTCCTATCTTGTGGAACTAACTTCCAATCTCTGTCCGTGAGGCTGACACATTATCCAGTTTTAAAACTAGGCTTAAGACTTTCCTTTTTGCTAAATCCTATAGTTAGGGTCAGCTTGGGTTCCTGAGCTGTCCCTTAGTTATGCTGCTATAGGCTTAGACTGCTGGAGGACAAATTGACCTCAATTTTTACTCTGCTACTGTCTTTACTTACTCTGCTCAACCTGTTTTGTATTTGTAATTATTTTTTCTATCCTTAACATGGGTATTTTTTTAGTATTTCAGATACACCTGGACCTCCTGGACCTACCATTCTGTGTTCATGTGTCTCTCCTTCCTGTCCTCTCAACCAGCCGGTCAAAGCAGATGGCCGCTTGTCCTGAGCCTGGTTCTGCTGGAGGTTTCTTCCTTTTAAAAGGGAGTTTTTCCTTTCCACTGTTGCCACTGTACTTGCTCAGGATGGGAGACTGCAACGAAGCCAAGATTCAACTTGTCTGCTGGATTCCTTAGATAGAGAACTTTACTAATTGGCTTTTATGTATGTGAATGTTTCTGTAAATTGCCCTGAGACAACTTTGTTGTGATTTGGCACTATATAAATAAACTGAATTGAATTGAATTGAAATCCTCTCCATCACATACAACCAGTTGAGCATAACCGCTGACAATGTTTAGCGTCAGACCTTCTACTTCTACCTTCTGGCACATCACCCTATCTCATACTATTGTCACCTCTACTACTGTCTTTGCTAATTCCATCTTCAGGACCACCCCTACTGCATTTCTGTCTTTCTATCCACAGTATGGTAAAACAGTCTGAACTGAGCTCCAATGCTGCAAGCCTTGCTGCCTTTCCACTTGGTCTCTTGGACACATAAAATATCTACCTTCCTTCTCTGCATCATGTCAGCCAGCTCTCTACCTTTGCCTGTCATTGTCCCCACATTTAGTGTTGCAACTCTCAGTCCTACATTCTTGACTTTCCTCTTCTCCCTTGGTCTCCTGACACATTCCCCTCCCTTTGTTCTTAGACTAACAGTAGCACAATTTCCGCCGTCACCCAGTTTGTCAACAGCACCGGTTGACACCGGTGCTGTTGACAATGACCACCGGTCAATGACCACCGGTGGTGGTCATTGTTAACCTGGGCCTGAACGAGCCAGTATGGCTTCTTTTGATGAACTTGCATTATGGTTTTGGCAAAAGTGTTTTATATAGGATGCCGTTCCTGACACAACTCACCATTTACCTGGGCTTGGGACCGGCACAAGGGATACACTGGCTTGTTCTCCCTTGTGGCTGGTTTAGGGTCTCATTTACATCCAACAAAGTATAAAATGTAAAAGAAAAACAGTAATAAACTCTGATATTAACTAAGAAATATGATAAACTAAGATACGCTCAGCAATTATTGTACAAAAAACAATATACTGCACAACAGCAGTATGAACATGAGACTGTGTGAGCAGATTAGTACAAATGAAATAAATGAAACAATTAAATAGCTTAATGATAAATGTTCAGGTGGGGAGTGGTGGGACAGAGGTTAGAGAAGGTGGGCCTGTGATCGGAAGATCGCTGGTTCAAGCCCCGGTACCGACAACATAAAAAATGTGGGTGGGGTGGGTGGGGTAGGTGGCGCACCCACGCCTGCACTTGCCCTCATTCATCCCACTCTGGGCCCTTGAGCAAGGCCCTTAACCCCCACCATCTGCTCCTCTGGGTGTCCTAGATGTCAGCTCTCTGCTCCACACAGAGGGCTGTGGTAGCTCGGTAGTCTGTAGTTGTGTCAGGAAGGGCATCTGGCGTAAAAATAACTGCCAAGTCTTTGTGTGACTTAGTTTGCTGTGGCAACCCCTAAAAAAGGGAGCAGCCGAAAGAAGAAAAAAAAATGTTCAGATGACACAATAAAGTGAATAAATTGTAGCTCTTTAAACAGGTGGCAGCCTCAGAACCAGAACTTTTGTCTCTTTTCTCTGTTTGGCTGCAGGACTGTTGGACTTCAGCAGCAGGCGGCATTCAGCGTGGCCCGAGGAACCACAGAGTTCCCAGATAAAGCCAGCCTGATCGTGTTCAAACAGGTCATAACAAACATCAACAACGACTACAACACCAACACGGGGCGCTTCAGGTGAGGACAACACCTATTTCTACTGGAAGGTGATGACATCACTGAGTTCTTGACACTTTAGACATATTTAGCTCATGTTATTACTTGAGAACAAGGGTAAAATATCAAGAATATTTAGCTTTTGATTATAAATTAATGGAAGTTAATGGATGGGAGACTGCAAAAAAGCCAAGTTTCAACTTGTCTGCTGGCTTCCTTAGATAGAAAACTTTACTCATTGGCTTTTCTATGTACAGGTCCTTCTCAAAAAATTAGCATATTGTGATAAAGGTCATTATTTTCCATAACGTAATGATAAAAATGAAACTTTCATATATTTCAGATTCATTGCACACCAACTGAAATATTTCAGGTCTTTAATTGTTTTAATACTGATGATTATGGCATACAGCTCATGAAAACCCAAAATGCCTGTCCCAAAAAATTAGCATATCATGAAAAGGTTCTCTAAACAAGCACCTAACCTAACCATCTGAATAAACGACTTAACTCTAAACACCTGCAAAAGATTCCTGAAGCTTTTAAAAACTCCCAGCCTTGTTCATTACTCCAAACCGCAATCATGGGTAAGACTGCTGACCTGACTGCTGTCCAGAAGGCCATCATTGACACCCTCAAGCAAGAGGGTAAGACACAGAAAGAAATTGCTGAACGAATAGGCTGTTCCCAGAGTGCTGTATCAAGGCACCTCAGTGGGAAGTCTGTGAGAAGGGAAAAGTGTGGCAGAAAACGCTGCACAACGAGAAGAGGTGACCGGACCCTGAGGAGGATTGTGGAGAAGGGCCGATTCCAGACCTTGGGGGACCTGCGGAAGCAGTGGACTGAGTCTGGAGTAGAAACATCCAGAGCCACTGTGCACAGGCGTGTGCAGGAAATGGGCTACAGGTGCCGCATTCCCCAGGTCAAGCCACTTTTGAACCAGAAACAGTGGCAGAAGCGCCTGACCTGGGCTACAGAGAAGCAGCACTGGACTGTTGCTCAGTGGTCCAAAGTACTTTTTTCGGATGAAAGCAAATTTTGCATGTCATTCGGAAATCAAGGTGCCAGAGTCTGGAGGAAGACTGGGGAGAAGGAAATGCCAAAATGCCAGAAATCCAGTGTGAAGCGCCCACAGTCAGTGATGGTCTGGGGTGTCATGTCAACTGCTGGTGTTGGTCCACTGTGTTTTATCAAGGGCAGGGTCAATGCAGCTAGCTATCAGGAGATTTTGGAGCACTTCATGCTTCCATCTGCTGAAAAGCTTTATGGAGATGAAGATTTCATTTTTCAGCACGACCTGGCACCTGCTCACAGTGCCAAAACCACTGGTAAATGGTTTACTGACCATGGTATTACTGTGCTCAATTGGCCTGCCAACTCTCCTGACCTGAACCCCATAGAGAACCTGTGGGATATTGTGAAGAGAAAGTTGAGAGACACAAGACCCAACACTCTGGATGAGCTTAAGGCCGCTATCGAAGCATCCTGGGCCTCCATAACACCTCAGCAGTGCCACAGGCTGATTGCCTCCATGCCACGCCGCATTGAAGCAGTCATTCATGCAAAAGGATTCCCGACCAAGTATTGAGTGCATAACTGAACATGATTATTTGAAGGTTGGCGGTTTTTGTATTAAAAACACTTGTCTTTCATTGGTGGGATGAAATATGCTAATTTTTTGGGACAGGCATTTGGGGTTCTCATGAGCTGTATGCTATAATCATCAGTATTAAAACAATTAAAGACCTGAAATATTTCAGTTGGTGTGCAATGAATCTGAAATATATGAAAGTTTCATTTTTATCATTACATTATGGAAAATAATGACCTTTATCACAATATGCAAATTTTTTTTAGAAGGACCTGTATGTGATTGTTCCTGAAAAGTGCCCCGAGACAACTTTGTTGTGATTTGGTGCTATCTAAATAAACTGAATTAAATTGAATTGGATGTGTTAGCGGAGACGTGGAGGAAGTAAACAACTTCCTGTCAATGTATTGAACATGTCTAAAATCAAAGAACTTTATTTGGCTTAATGCCATCAGAGTTGACACAAAGAATCCACATTTGGTCAAGTATAGTGTGAATTGTTATAAAGCATTCCCACTACAGAGATTCATTTTTATTCTGCAAAACCTTTTACTGCTCCTTTCAGCTTCTTTTCAGTTTTTTTCCAGCTTCTTTGTGCTGACTTCAGCTTCCTAATTTCCTGGATTAATTAGAGGATGATTCTAAATTATAAGCTAATTTCCAAGGTAATTTCAGTTTCTTTCTGCTCCTTTCAGCTTCTTTCTGCCTTTTTTAATATTGTTTTTTTTGGTTTGTTTTTTGCTTGTTCTTTGTTCAGCTTTTTCTTGCTAATTTAATATTTTTCTGCTCCTTTCAGTTTTTTACAAAAAATTTCAGGTATTATTTTAGCTACTTTAGCTTTTTATGTAATTTTTGCCCCCAATTTCCACCTTTTGTGCTTCTTTCTAATAAAATTAACTTCAGCCTTTCAAATATTTCAGGTACTTTTTATACTTTTTAACCCCCCCCCCCCCCCACACACACACACACAATTTTAGCTTTTTTTCCCTGCCTTTTCTTATTTATGCCTTTTCCTCTTCAGGGGCCTCCACAGCGAGTCATTGTCTTCCATCTCACTCTGTCCTCTGCATCCTCTGTCCTCACTCCAACTACATTCAAGTCCTCTCTAACTGCATCCATACAGTATTTCTTCTTTTTGGCCTTCCTTGTTGTCTTTTTCCTGGCAGCTGCATTTCTAACATCTTTCTACCAATATCAATCAACCTTTATTTAGACAGGAAAATCCCATTGAGCCTCGAGGACTCATTTACAAGAGAGACCTGATTTCAACAAAGAAAGATGACAACAGTGGACAACAGCAACAACAATAAACAGTTATAAAAAGTCATACTGCAGGTTTTTTTTTTTTTAACAAATAGGATGGCTAAAAGGAAAAGGTAACAAAACAAAAAACAGCTAGATTCCAAGACAAATGTAGAAAACTAAAAACAGGAACATGTCAGCATTGGACACTGCCAGGTGTCCAACAGATTCTTAAAGCCACTTAGAGAGGTCAAGGTCAAGAGCTTCAAATCTTTTTGTAAGATATTCCAGGAAACAGGAGCGGAATAGGAGAAGGCCCTTTTGCCTAGTTCAGTCCTCATTGAGGGAACACTGCAGGTAATAATGTCCTGAGAGCGCACTCCGTAGCTGCACTCACGCAGAGACATGTAGGAGGAGATGTATGAAGGCAACAGACCAAGAAGTGATTTAAAGATAAAAATATACCAGTGAGAGAGTCTGCGTGAAGTTAATGATGTCCAGTTAACCCGTGAATACAGGGTGCAGTGGTGGGTACGATAATCACAGCCAGTTATGAATCTTAGTGCACCATGATAGACAGCATCCAACATCTGCAGGGTTCTTGTAGGAGCGTTCATGTAAAAAATGTCACCATAATCAGTTTAGGGAAGGAAAGTCACAGATACAAGGCGTTTTCTAGCATTCAGGGTTAGACAGGATCTGTTTCTGAAAAAGAAACCCAGTTTAACTTTCAGTTTCCTTATCAAGTTTTCCACATGGAGCTTAAAAGAGAGATGCGAGTTGACCAAGATACCCAAATATTTATAGGAATCAACAAACTCAATGGGGACACCATTTGAGGATAAAATCGGAGGAAGAACTGCTGGGACCAACTTCCTATTTGAAAAATGCATCCCTTTGGTTTTGTCGGCATTTAGGACAAGTTTGAGGTGAAACAAATCAGTCTGGATGATGTTGAATGCAGATTTCAAAAGCTGGAAAGCCTTAGCAACAGTTTTAGCTCGACAATAAACAACTGTGTCGTCAGCATAGAAATGTATGGATGCATTAGGGATGTTTTTACCTACATTATGTGTGTAGATTGTAAAGAGGGTGGGTCCTAAGACTGAGCCTTGTGGTACACCATTGTTGACTGTTAAATAACTGGAGGAAGTACCATTATGTTGAAGACATTGCCTCCGGTCTGAAAGATAGTTAGAGAACCAACCAATGATGTGATCTGAGAAACCGATTTCTGAGAGTTTATGACACAAGATGTTATGATCCACAGTGTCAAAAGCTTTAGACAGGTCTAAGAAAAGTGCAACACAATAATCCTTAGCATCCAGTGCTTCAACAACATCATTAAGAACCTTCAGTGAAGCAGTGGTTGTGCTGTGTTGTTTCCTGAAACCAGATTGATGTGGAGGTAAGATGTTAAATGAGTCCAGGTAATTTTTGATTTGAGAGTTTATCAGTTTTTCTAGAACCTTGGCTAAAATGCAGAGTTTAGAGATTGGTTGATAGTTGTTCAGTGAGGTGGGGTCTCCTCCCTTCAGCAAAGGAAGAACAAAGGCTGTTTTCCAAGTGTCTGGGATGGAGTTTTGTCTTATGGAGAGATTGAAGATGTGGGTCACAGGGACTGTGATGATATGAGCAGCCAGCCTTAAAAAATAAGGTGGAAGTTCATCAGGACCTGCAGATTTTTTAGGGTCAAGATCTTTTAACAGTTTATATACCTCACTGACTGGGAATGGAGAAAAAGAGAAGCTGTGATTAACTGAGGATTGACTTGTAGGAGGGATTTGATTTGTAGAAGTTTGGTTATTAGGGGAAGTGGCTGATCTTTCATTAGTAACTGTATCAAATAAAGAACCAGAAGCAACAAAATGTTTGTTGAAACAGTTCAGGATCTCGTGCTTATTTGACACAGGAACAGAGTTAACGAGAAGTTGTGATGGGAGGTCAGATGATTGGGGGGTGCCTGAGAGAGATTTGATAGTTTTCCAGAATCTGTTAGGGTCATTTAGATTTTTGAAGGTCTGAGATAAGAAATAGTTGCGTTTTGCTGCTTTGACAGCAGTTGTGCATTTATTCCTCATCTGTCAAAACTCAACCAATCAGTGTCTGAGTCAGATTTTCTCGCTGTGGCCCAAAGATGGTCTCTCCTGTGCAGGAGATCAGCTAGCTCTGGAGTAAACCAGGGGCTGTCTCGTCCCTTTATTCTGAACTGACGAAAAGGAGCATGTATGTTCAGAAAATAAATGAAACTATTATGAAAATAGTTCCAAGCGGAGTTCACGTCATCAGTTAACAGAATACAATGCCAGTCAAAGTGAGACAGATCCCAGAAGAATGACTGTTCACAAAAACGTTTCAAATCCCTTTTTTGAATTAATCTAGGCTTAGAAGGTGGAAGTTTAATATCTCTCAAAGCAGCTGTCACACAATGATCACTCAAAAGATCAGCGAATACACCTGTACAAGGGAATTTGTGAGGCATATTAGTTAGAAACAGGTCTAAGATGGAGGATTTTTCAGGATGGTTTTTATTTAATCTAGTGGGAGAGTTGATCAGTTGGGTAAGATTAAGAGACAAGCAACATTCCTTGAATTTATCACAGAGGGGGGGTCGACTTACACCAATCAATGTTGAGGTCTCCAGCCAAAAGGACTTCTTTGAATTTTAAATTACCAAGAAATTCCATCATGGCAGTCAATGCCTCAGGTGATGCTGAGGGGGGGGGGCGGTAGCAGCAGACTACAATTAAGATCTGACCTCCATTCAAGGTGATGTTTACAGATAAGGCTTCAAACTGGTTTGGAATTGTTTTAGAAGACACAAGACTAGAAACCAGAGAATCTCTAATGTAAATAATGACTCCACCCTCCCATTTTTTGACGATCACAGCGGTAGATGTTAAATCCATTGATTGCCACGTCATTATTGAGTACAGATTTGTTGAGCCAGGATTCAGAAATAAAGATAACATCTGCCCCAGAAGAACTGACCAGAATTTTCAAAGCATCCAGTTTTCTCAGAAGGCTACGAGCATTTACATGCAGAAAATGAAGCCCAGACACGTTCTTAAAGTCATTTGGTGTGCTGTAATTAGTGGGAGGTCCAGGGTTGGGCTGAATCCCTGAGAGCAGTAACAACATTATTATCAGACATATACCCAAATATATACCCAAATATACCCACTGTCCCTCCTCTAGACATGTTCAAACCACTGTCCCTCCTCTGGACATGTCCAAACCATCTCAGTCTGGCCTCTACCTTTATCTCCCAGTTGTTCATGTCACAGTTTTCAGACTGAGCTTAGCATGAACAAACCCACTGGTGCAGGCAGGATGCTCAGGCCATGATGTAAAAAAAATGAATACTTTAATAACAAAAATAAATAACAAATGTGGCAGCAAACACTTACAAGTTAGATGATGCAATACACGATGGACACAATAGGATACCATACAATGGACTGACAATGACAGAGGCACAGACCAGGGTTTATATACACTGACTAAACAAGACATAATTACAAACACTTTTGTGCTTCTTTCTAATCATTTGAACTTTTTATGCTTCTTTCAGCCTCTTTCTGCTAATTTCAGCTTCATTCATTCATTCATTTATTCAACCTTTATTTAAACAGATAAATCACATTGAGCCTCGAAGACTCATTTACAAGTGAGACCTGTTTGGACAGACAAAAAACAGTGGTTAACTGGACACATGTAGGAATTGGAGGTGGAAAAAATTCCTATCAGACTTTTTTCTTGGCTGAGAAAAACCCCTAATATTGAAAAAACACTTTGCACAAACAAGCACATATTTACGTAGACTTTCTGCAGAGCAGGAAGAAGGAAGAGACAAGCTTATTTTCTTTAGGTCATTTTAAGCAACTTAATTTGGCAAATTTGAGCTTTTTGTGCTCTACTCAGCTTTTTCTACACATTTCAGCATTTTTCTACAACTTTCTTATTAAATTTTCCCGTTTTCTGCCAGTGTCAGCTGCTCAAATGGAATAGTTTAGAGATGAAACCTTTTCAAGCTGGTTTCAGTTTCTTCAACAAAATTAATCCAGCCATAAGCATTCCCACAGCATTTTCACAGGAAGTACAAATTGTCTGGTTGTTTTTAAGCCAGTGTGTTGTGTTACAGGTGTCGAGTCCCAGGAATGTACTACTTTGTGTTTCATGCTTCGCTAGAAGATAAGCTCTGTGTGCTGCTGAAGCTTGACAACAAGCTGCTGACCTCGTTTTGTGATCATCGCCGCATCAAGAGACATGTATGGTCATGACACAACACTGGAGCTTGTTGGTTTAAGTTGTTTTAAGGTGTTTGACGTTAAGGCTGAACCACGTTTGATGGAAGTTTTGACTCTATAACTGATTCCAGGTGACTTCCGGTGGCCTGGCGGTCTATGTGTCAAGAGGTCAGGAGGTTTGGCTGGAGACTAAAGACTACCGGGGCATGACAGGGAGATACACCGGTTACAGCATTTTTTCTGGTTTTCTGCTTCATCCTTACTGAACTACAGGAAATCAAACATAAAACAGTTTCATGTCGTAAAATCAGAACTGTTTCTTTTTTCGTTAACTTTTCATCACTGTGGTAAACCAGATATACAATTGATCAAACTCACCTTCTTTTTACTGAATTCACTCCATTTGACCCATCACTCCTTAAGCTAAAGTCAGACTTTTTATTTCATCTGTTACGTAATATCCAATTCACTGTATTTAAACTTGTGAGCCAAATAAAGTCAGTGAGAAACAACCAAATGTGTATGAGGTTTATTGTCCTATCTGTTACATTTCTGCAGCCTTTGAGCTTGAGCCATGTGTTTGGCTCATTCAGGAGAATCTTGATACATTTTTCCACTAGTCAGAAATTTGCAACTTTTACCAAGCAAAAAGCTAAAAGTAGCAGAAAAGTAGCTTAAAGAAGTAACAGTGCTGCTATTTTCAGCTTTTAGCTAGTCTTGCTGCTCTAACCTTTTGTTAGTCTTTTATGACTTGTTTTTTCCTAATCTTTAGCTTTGATTTTTGCTACATTTGATTTCTAGCTAGTGTTTTTGCTTCTCTTAGCTTTTAGTCAGCCTCTTGATGCTTTTCTTTCTTAACTAAAGTTGCGCTGCTTTTATTTTTTTAAACGTTCTGCTTTTTGCTAGCTTTTTGCTACTTTGACCTTTTAGCTATCATTTAGATGCTTTTAGTTTCTAGCTAGAATCATGCAATGTTTAGCTTTTATCTAATGTTTTTTGGTAACCAAAACCAAAAAAAAGTCCATGCTCAATAATCCAGGTGAACAATCCAACAATTTTCAGTCAGGTCATCTGGACAGTTTCTTTTTTGTTCTGAAACGTTTCACCTTCCATCTGGAAGGCTTCATCAGTCAAGGAAACACACAACACAAAACTGATTCTTCCCCCAAACAGCTTACTCCAAAGTGGAACAAACCAGTTATGTTGGTGCTAAGATGGTGTCTTTGGCACGCCCCCTCCTCTGGAGCCGGCTCTCTTCCTCATCGGCAGTCATGTCAAACTGTTCTTTGGTAACAGTTTCTAAATGTGCTATATAAATCAATCTGACTTGACTAACATTTTGCCACTTCAGTTTTTAGTTAGACTTTTGCTGTTTTAAGTCTTTAGCTAATTCTGTGCTTTTTCACCAGACTCTTATTTCTTTCCAGGTCTCTGGTTCAGTGGAACTAACCTGTTTAAATAAAGGTTGAATTAATGAAAACAAATTGGATTTTAGCTAGGTTTTGCTTCTTTTAGCTTTTAATTAGTATCTTGTTATTATATTAACTGAACCTTTGGTTCTTATAATTTTTAGGTAAACTATTTTGATAGGTTCAGCCAGTCACTAGGGAGCACAAGCCAGTGTATCTCTTGATCAAGAAGGCCCATCAGCATAACAATGGATCTATAGCACACTGATGACTGTTTACTATTCACAGGGCATTGAGTGATACTAGCAATCACAGCATTGTAAGAGGGGGACAGTTGAACCCGGAGGCCTCCACCCCTGTTTAATGATGGACAATTTCTTTTCACAAAGATGGCCTTCTTTACTCCTTGCTCAAACCATCGTTCCTCTCTGTCCAGGATGTGAATATCTTCATCCCTGAAAGAGTGACCGCTGGCCTGGAGATGAGTGTAGACAGCAGAATCCTGGCCTGATGATGTTGATCACATAATACACATACACATAATATTGTTTATGCTGTTTAGTGTCAGGAGGGCTGTGATCAGTCTTACATCGGGGAAACTAAACAGCTACTGGCCAAAAGGATTGCCCAGCACAGAAGATCAACATCATCAGGCCAGGACTCTGAGGTCTACACTCATCTCCAGGCCAGCGGTCACTCTTTCAGGGATGAAGATGTTCACATCTTGGACAGAGAGGAACGATGGTTTGAGAGAGGAGTAAAGGAGACCGTCTTTGTGAAAAGAAATTGTCCATCATTAAACAGGGGTGGAGGCCTCCGGGTTCAACTGTCCCCCTCTTACAATGCTGTTATTGCTAGTATCACTCAACCCACTATGAATAGTAAACAGCCATCAGGTGTTAATGATCCTTTGTTAGGCTGATGGTCCTTCTTGACCATGTGAGCAACTGGTTTTGGTTGTCAGCAGCAAACTGGTTGATCCACTCTGAGAAGGTGCTATTTTAGAGACTGAGCTGAATACAGCACCTCAGACTGAGGAAGTATCTTGGATGAGAGACGAAACGTTTCTAGATTTTTTTTGCTTTGTTTTGTGTTTTGTATTTTTTGAATGTCCAGAGGACCAGATTGAACTTTTTTGGATTTGTACAGAATGTTGCAGGACCAACTCACCAGCATGGCCACACACTGGATTTAGTATTAACCTTTGGTTTATCTGTTTCTGAGTTAGAAATTGGGGATGCAGTTTTCTCTGACCACAAACCGATTTTTTCAGCACTTCTTTTGTCAACGAGTCCAAACTCCCTCCCCCTCCAGCAAGGCCTTGTCTAATATTTAACCCTTCCACTGCTGCGCTCTTTTCATTTGCTTTTACTAAAACCTCTCTCTCAGTCTCTGAATCCTCTTCCATCAACACCCATGAGCTAGTCACTGTACATCAAGAGACCTGTGCTAAGGTGCTTGACCTAGTTGCCCCATTAAAAATTAGGCATCCAAAGCGCTCTCCACACCCTTGGATGAATGAGATCACTTGCGCAGCCAAACGTCAATGCAGGAAAACTGAACGTAAATGGAAGAAGGACAAACTTCACGTTTTTTTTAATCATGCTAAAATCATATTACAAAGAGTACCAGGCCACTGTTAAATCAGAAAAAAAACAAATATTTCTCCCAAATCATCGCCTCAAACAGCCACAATCCCGAGTTATTTTCAACACCATTAACGTCATTTTAACTGTGCCTCACTCTGCCAACAGGGAGGTCTCTGCAGTTACGTGTGACGACTTTGCCAGTTTCTTTGTTAAAAAGGTTGAGTCGATCAGGTCACTGATTCCTCACACCACAGCTGACTCCTCTGTCTTTGTCCCCTCCACATCAGTCTTTAACCAGTTTGAACCCATTTCCCTCTCATTTCTAAATGATGTCATTGGTCATGTGAAACCCTCAGGTTCCCCTGCTGACCCCATCCCTGCATCATTTTTTAAACAAGTCCTACCCGCCATTGGACCCTCTGTTCTTGACATTATAAACAGCAGTATGGCTACAGGTGTAGTTCCTGATGCTTTTAAACATGCAGTGGTAACTCCTTTATTAAAAAAACCCGGACTTGACCCTTCAACCTGCTCAAACTTCAGACCCATCTCCAAACTTCCCTTTCTTTCTAAGATCCTGGAGAAAATAGTTTTCACTCAATTAAACAAGTTCTTGAGTGGAAATTCTATTCTTGAGATCTTTCAGTCTGGCTTTAAGAAATTACACAGCACTGAAACAGCCTTAGTTAGGGTCTGCAATGACATTCTTCTGGCAAATGACTCTGGTCAGTCTGTAGTCCTGGTACTCCTTGACCTTACCGCTGCATTTGATACTGTGGATCACAGTATCCTTTTATCCCAGCTAGAAAACTGGGTTGGGATTACTGGTGCAGCGTTAGAATAGTTCCATTCATACCTGAGCGACAGGAGTTTCTGTGTTAATTTTGCTAACACTCTATCTACTTCAGTGCCTCTTTCCTGCAGGGTCCCGTAAGGCTCCATTGTTGGACCCCTTCTGTTCTCATTGTACCTGCTCCCCTTGGGGTCAATCCTGAGGAAACATGGTCTTTCCTTTCATTGTTATGCTGATGACTCTCAGATTTATCTGCCGTTAACACCTAACAGTTTCTCCTCCATTCGCCCTTGTTAAAATGTCTTGATGACACCAAGACTGGGATGGCTGCAAACTTTTTGAGTTTTAATGATCAGAAGACTGAGGTCATTGTGTTTAACCCTAGCTCTGCCACTGTCACTGATCCTGCAAACCTGGACTCCCTTCAGCCACATCTAAAGCAGTCTGTTACCAATCTCGGAATAGTTTTAGACTCAGACTTTAAGTTTAATAAGCAGATAAATTCTGTTCTTCAAAAAAGCTTCTTTCAGCTAAGGCAGATAGCATAGCTTAAGTCCGTTCTGTCCAGATCTGACCTTGAAAAATTAGTCCATGCATTTATTACAACCCGGCTGGACTACTGTAACTCGCTTTATGCTGGGGTCAGTCAGGTTTCTCTCTTCACGTCTCCAGCTTGTCCAAAATGCTGCAGCTCGGCTACTAACAGGAACTCGCAGGTTTGAGCACATTACTCCAGTTCTGTCCTCCCTTCACTGGCTTCCTGTGCAGCAGAGTTAATTTTAAGATTCTTCTGCTGATATTTAAGTGTGTTAATGGCCTTTTACCCTCATACCTCTCCGACCTCCTTCATCCTTCTACTCCTTCTCGGGCCTTGAGATCATCAGACCAGCTGCTTTTGGCCGCACCAGAAACCAGTCTGAAGCTCAGAGGAGATTGGGCGTTTTCTGTCATGGGCCCTAAACTCTGGAACAATCTGCCCATCAACATTCGACAGGCTACCTCAGTCTCTACTTTTAAATCTCTCCTCAAAACATATCTGTACTCATTGGCATTTAACACAGTGTGATCACATTTGGTATTTCGTTGTTGATGATTGTGTTCATCCATTTTGCTTTTACTCCCTGACATTTAACGCAGGCTGATTTGATTTAGTATTTCATTGTTTCTCATTATATTTCATGTTTTTATGCTTTTATTCATGTTGCTGTAATATCTTGTTATTAATCTTTGATGCTGGATCTTTTTTGGTAAGCACTTTGATAACAGTTACTGTTTTAAATGTGTTATATAAATAAATGTGACTTGACTTGACTTGACTTAACAACAAGTCAAAAAGAGGATCTGAGAGTGAGAAAATGACTGACCAGCACTTTTTTTTTTTACAGGATTTCTGTAATACAAACCATCATCACTTCAATTCTGCTGAGGAAATTAAAGAATTTGTGGAACAGATACCAAATGAGGTAGTAAACCAC